ACTTTGAAACGGGGCAAGTTATCGAATATCCGAAACAATCTCGATCTCCGCGGGGACCAGAAGGACCTACAGCTAAAATTTCAAGTCTCTAGCTCTTAAAGGTTCTGAAATCCCTGCGTTCATACATACGGTCAGACTGACGGACATGGCTAGATCGACTCGGCTATTGATGCTGATCAAGAATATATATACTTTATGGGGTCGGAGATGCTTCCTCTTTCTGCCTTTTACATACATTTGCCCAAATGCATTATACCCTTTTTACCAATTTTTAATGGGTTCAGGTTATAACAAGATAGAGGCGCTAGTCGGCAGTTCGCGGCTAGGGATACCCTGAACCCTCTTCTACTAACACCAAAGGCAGCTCGCTCTACGAGCTCATTTGCTTTAACAGTAATTAAAATAAAAAGAAAAAATTTTCCTCGATATGACTAGAGCTCGTAGCAGACCACCCCAGTTGCCAACGTCAACAGCTACACCAGCAATTGAGACCTGATGGGAAAAAAAGGATTAAAATAGCAGCAACAATTGCAATTGCAATGCTGTTGCTAGAATTCAATTGCAATTTACCAAAAAACGTTTTCTTTATTAACTTATGTGTTTCCAAACCGATCTTGATTAAATTTTCAACAATAGATCTTATTATGCTATTCTCAAAAAGACAATTGCAATAAAATTGTAGCTTAAATTGATGGAAAGTTCAAATTGGTGTATTTATTCAATTTGTGGCTATGGTGTGTAGGCGGGTCGGTGGCAATGGCAATGTCTATAAAAACCGAAGATATTTGCTTAAAAAACAGGATTTCGATATCGATTTTTATCGGGGCAAGTTATCGATTATCGGAAACAAACTCGTACTACGCTAAAATTCGTGACTGTAATTTATTCTTTTTATACCCTGAACCCATCGAAAATGGGTAAAGAGGGTATAATGTATTTGTGCAAATGTATGTAACAGGCAGAAGGAAGCATCTCCGACCCCATAAATAATATATAATCTTGATCAGCATCAACAGCCTAGTCGATTTAGCCATGACCTGGTTTAGTCTGTCCGTGCGTCCGTCCGTATATATGAACGCAAGGATCTCAAAACCTATAAGAGCTAGAGACTTGAAATTTCAGCTGTAGGTCCTCCTAGTCCATGCGCAGATCGAGTTTGTTTCCGATAAACGATAACCTGCCCCGCTTCCAAGTAATCGATAAAAATCGATATCGAAATCCTGTTTTTTTTTTTTTTTTTTTTAGCAATTTTGGTAAATAATAAGAGCTAGAGTCACCAAACTTGACATGTAGCTTCTAGAATAGTAAATATATTTCAAGTATCTTTCATTTTATACCTATCGCCACCTCCCCGCTACCACCACAATAAATCATGTAAGTAAGCCAACTTGTATTGCCTATCTTATTAAGACACAATTTAAATGCAATTGTCATTTTGAGAATACACGAACATTTTATAGTACAATAAGATATTCTACTGAAAATTTCATCAAGGTCGGTTAAGAAACACGAAAGAAAATGTGTTTTGGCCTGGAAACACGTGTAGCAGCAAGCGCAAATTACAAGAATTTCTGTATACATGTACACACACACACATTCATGCACGTCTTCTTTGATTTCTATCAACAGCATTGCAATTGTATTGATTTCTGTGCCCCTGGCAAGGGAACTTTTTTTTTTAATTTATTTTTATTACTACTAAAGCAAACGAGCTGCATTTGGTGTATATAAGAAGAGGGTTCAGGGTATCCCCTAATCGGGAGCTCCCGACTAGAACCTCTTACTTGTTTTTATTATATTTATAACTTAGAAGTTTTATTCTAAATTTTTCTATTTCTATATTAAGTTATTGTATGAGCTAACTAAAAAGAATTATTACGTTTTTGGCAAGAGACTTGAGTCACCAGTATTAGCCCTATTTAATTCAACAAAAGAAAGAAGATTAAATGGCAACTAGTATCTTGTTTATCAAAAAGATGTACTGAAGCAGAATTCAAATTGCTTTGAGAAGATTTCGTGTATATCTTGTAGTGTATTCATGCATGCACACTGTAAAGTTTTGTTGAAATCATTAATATTGAAATTGAAAACAATGGATATATTCAAAACCTAATCGCAAGTTAGTGACTTGATCAAAAGTAGTATAAACGGTGTCTTAAAGTTGCCCGTCTTACAGTTTAATTGCTGATCATACATCCCAGAGGCAAATACCCGAGATGTACGAAAAGTACAAAGCTGCACAAGTAAGTGCATGTTAGCATTTAACATAATTATGCTAAGTTAGAATTGTAAGCTACGATAAGCTTTGCTAGAATTCAATAAAACCGAAATCAACCAAGTAAGACGTCTTTTGATCACATGGCGGCCGTGTCAGGACCAACGCACATCTATTGTCCTGAATATGATAGGCTATCCAAATGTGGAAAAGAGCAGCACAAAAATAAAATAAATAAATTAATAATAAGTCAAATTCAAATGGTCATACCTAGAATTGAAAAGAAGTGCCCCGACGACTGCGCGGGACAGCGTTCCAGGGTCTTAACGAGACTGTGCAAAAAGAACGTTAAGTACGAATGAACCCAAGAATGAAATGATGCTTTCTAATACCTTAATAAGGCACTAATGAAACCTACTTTACTGCAATACCCTGACATCATCAATGAATTCCGCACTATCACGGATGCTTACAGCATCTGGAGCATTATTCACACAAGATTAAAAGCTGGGCAATTTAACATTTCAGCCCATAAGTCCACGGAAAGCGTTTCACAGTAGACCTGAAGGGGAACGATATCTGTGTTGCCGATGCACTGTCGTGCATAACAATAAATTATGAAGGTTACAGATATACAACTAAACAAAAAATGTTTAGTTAAAACTAAAGAGCAAAAAATAATGCCCCAAATCTACGAAGTTAAAAAATGGATAGAAATAAGTGTTGTGTTGTGTAAATGTTGAGCATAGTGGAATTAGGCTGTAAGATTATGAAAATAAACAATATGACATTACCCGCTCATCATCATCAAACAATTGGCACCATAGAGTGAAGTCATCGGCCTTTAACCAAATATGTTTGTTCATCCATTTCTTTCGACAGAAGTGATTGGGACGTATGGTATGCAATTACTTCATCTACTGTTTTAACACAACATCGATAGTATATGAATACTACCCACATGAACTTGTCTTTGGTAGGTCACCAAGACAATTCATTGATTATAGTAAGATAAATAAGATAAAGCCCATATATAATGTAGTTTATTATGAGAAGAAGCTATGCAAGAACGAGAGAAAGAAACGCGAAAACAGATTTACAACTAAAATAAAAGGGTTTAAGATTACTTTATGCTTAGATATGAAACTGTGCATAAATTAGATGAAAATTATCCAGTACTCTATGAAATAGATGATAGAGATAATATAAAAATTATAATGGGAAAATGGCAAATAATATAAAACAAACACACGTCGTAAATATTGCCATTGACAACAATGAATATATTTAAAACATAACCGCAAGCCACGATCAAATATAATAATATGATCACTTGAAGGTTTCCCGTATTACAGCATAAGTGCTGACCATACATCCAAAAAGCGAATGTCAGAGAGCGCTATGTACGAGAAGACCACAGCTGCACGCGAACCAATACTTTCATCTTAAAATATATGCATGAGTACTCTCTCCCCCTTAGAGCATAATTATGCTAGGATAAAACTCTACGATAAGCTTTCATTTAGAACATTATGGTCCAATAGATAGAAATACTTCCAAAAGCATATGTGGGCATATGGGCTTCACAGGAAATATTTTCTAAAATGGATAAGTAAATGATGAAAATGGATCTTTAAAAACAAGTTTAACACACCTGTTTTCCGCGATATTCTACAACTGCGTGGTATTTCCCTAAAACCGATTCTTAGTGTGCACCGTTATCACATGAGGTAACTACAGTAAAAATTTTAGCATTCCATGCAATTACGGTTTCGGCTGTGCGTTGAGTACCAATCAATTAGGACAAACAATTATACAGATATTTAAAGCAAGTGGCAAGCATCTACTAAGACCTGTAAAATATTGAATTCCTAGATTATGACTGGGATATTATCTATTAATAAAAATTAATAAATAAAGACTGTGGATTCCCATCTGGAAAACTGTATTGTTCCTCACAGAAGCAACACCATAAATCCCTAACAAAACCCCTAATTCAATATAGAAATAATAATTGCAATGGATAGGGGTGACATATCCTTACAACATAATTCCCATCCTTACAACTAGCTTCGACTTGGCCGACTACGATGCTATCAAACCTATCCTTAATCGTCGATCAATTGATGGCATTACGAAAATAAACTTAATATTTAATGATCAATAAACTGGTTTTTCTAAAAATCTTTTCAGTTGTTGAGGACATTAGCAAAAATGGATGAAGGTAGAGTGACTTTTCTCACTCTATTGGACTATAGTAAGGCCCATGGGATAGCAGACCCTAGTAATCTGATACATCAATGGATTAACGCGTTGAGAATATATTAAGCAGAGCATTAAAATTTGATCGTCCTCTTAACTTAGACAAAATTCAATTTTTTAATTTTGGCGCACAAAGTTATCTACAAACAAGAGTGTTGAATTCGATACTCTGAAGCGAGGGTAATATTCTGGCTTCGTATGTACACAAAAGCACACATAGATAAACACGCGCAAACGCTCGCACGCTGCGTGACGCGCAAATTTTTGACAACAATATTGCATTGTGTGTGACACTTAACTTTTAAATACTGGATTTATGATATTGGCATTCCTTTAACTTTTAAATAATGGTTTTTTGACATTGGCATTTTTTAAATTATTTTATTTTTTAAATAGCTTTTAACGTCGCTGTTGCCCTATGCGCCATTTGTCTGCTTTTAGTTATAAGCGACTTAGGGTTTTTAACAATATAAAAACGTGTTTAGTTTTAAATTCTGAAATCAAATAAAAATATCGTACTTACCCATCCTGGCTATTATGAAAAGCAAGAACTATTGATGGGCTTGAATACGCATTGCTTGTTACCCATGTACAATGAACAGCAAACATCATCAATATCATTAAAACCGCCAATATAACGATACTTTTTAAATTGGAGCTTATTCCACTGTCGTGTGTGGGATCCTGTTTGGTGCGATGTCTTAACTTCCCGGCCTGTAAGCATTGGTTACATGCAATATAATTGAAAATTAAATTGATTAAAGATTCTTTCAAATATATTCGATAAAAAATCAACAAATGGTGTTTTTATACCCTTGTAGAGGGATTTTATATTTTTTTTGCATTGAATGCGTACCGCACAGAAGGACACATCTCCGACCTCATAAAGTATATATATTCTAGATCGGCATCAACAGCCGAATTGATATAGCCTTGTCCGTCTGTTTGTTTCTATACGAACTAGTCTCTTTTTCAAAGCTATCGTCATATTACTTTATATAGGTCCCTCTTTCTTTTTAGGGCAGTACATATGTCAAGCAAGAACCTAATTTTCAACCGATCATTCAGGATATAGTGGATCAATATGATACTGATGAAGAATATATATATACTTTATGGGGTCGTCCATGGCTTCTTTGCGTTACGCATTTCATGACAAAAGCTTAAAGGCTTACTCCCTACATGCTTGTTGCCGATAAATTTACACTCGCACTATCTAATATACAATGACCTATCCAATTAGGCTGAATTTTGAGAAATGTAAATTTTTACCAAGCTCTTGGGAGATTATTTTGAAGACAATCAGATGAAAGGCAAACAACTTTCATACAGCCGTATTTCGCCAATTTTCCAATACGTGTAGAGCTTTAAAAATATGTTGAAAGCCGATCAGACGAAACTTGAAACTTCGCTCGCTGAGAATTTTGTAAGGTAGATTATATAATTGTCACTGTTAGAAGAAAGTATTTCTTGCTGAGTCAAAGTAATCATAATGACAATGCAGTGCACTTTGTGGAATCGGCTGGCATTGTGCCGTGCACTTTTCACTAATCATACTAGTGTCATATAATAAAACTGATATTGCGCTTCATTTTTTTAAAATAGGCTTAGCATGTTAACTATTTTTTTAATTAAAAGTGCAATATTTTTTGCATTGTCACCAATGTGATTCGAAAGGGGATAAATCGTAGCAATTCGCCAATAATTAAACTGCTTAAAAACAAGGTCAATTATTTTAATTTCTTCAGGCAAGTTAAAGAGTTCTAGTCGGAAATGACTGTCTAGGAGATCCTCGCGACGATTACCTTTAATTAACCATACATAATACGTTGTAATCACTGCAGTTTTGCTTATTATTCGCAAAAAGGTATACTATTGGTTTCGGTTTTTATTGTCCGATATAAGGGCATAAATATAGAATACAAATGGGTCTATATACCTCGCAAGGCTATAGTTTTAAAATTGCGACTTATGCAAGATCTTATTTGTACTGATTTACCTTATCGTATAAACTTTTCCTTTCTAATGATTCGTCCTGTTCATCAGCTTCTTGTAAAGAGTTGATTGTATTAGACATTCGTTTAGATGAATCTTCTTGAAGAAAGACGTCTAATAGCCCGGAAAAGGCAACGCCAGCGAGCATGCACACTACCGGAGTTAGTGTCAACATTAAACGAACCATCACACCCGCAAAGTAGACAGCACTTATAGCGTATAGTACCACAAAAACGCGTTCATCATTAATCTGCTTCACGCAATACCAAAGCCCAACCGGAAATGCGCACACAAGAATATGTAAGTCGAAGAAGAATGAGAACCAAGTAGTTGGCTGATGTTCCGAAACAGATGCAATAATGGGAATATGAATTTTCGCATAGCCTGTATCCCAGAGAGAATAAAATCGTCCACTCCATGGCGCTACGACGCCCATCAATGTTAATACAACGACTGCGACAAAAACAAGAGCAGCCGCCAGGAATCCACCAACAATGAATAATTTTTTAAACTCATTTCGTGATAATATAGATTGCAAGTGACGCAGAGCAGCAACGGCCATGAGCAGTACAAAAACTCCCATAGCCGCCATATGTTCACTTGTGCGTATTGGCTGGAATCCAACAAACGGTATTTGCATTGAGAGCAGGAGTCCGAGAATGTAGAATGTGCTGTAGCTTGTTAGAAGTCGCGGGGAGTATCGCCCCATTATTAGCAACACAAAAACATGCAGTGGAATCAAATTGATGATAAACACATATCCACCCCAAGCGGATACCATGTAAAAGTAGGAAATTGCTGCACCAGATGACCAGAATACGGATCCAGTTTTAACAGATCGCACCCATAGGAAGTATGTGAATTGAAGTGCAAATATGGCGATGCCTTCATTATCATAGGAACCCGCCACGGATCGGCTGATATAACCGGGCACTATAGCAATAAAACTTGCCGCAAAGAGACCAGCGCCGGGCGACCAAAGTTCCTTTGTTAATAAATACGTCGAAATGGATGTAAGGCCACTGAAAACCGGAGCCAAAAATACGCAAATGTCTCGTATATGCACTGGAATATTCAGTATGTGCAATAGGTAATGGATACTGCCAGAAGTTATCATTAATCCAGGGTACACAGTACCACCAACTATGCGGCCTAGTGGATACCAGGCTCTTTCATCAAACCAATTAAGAAACTTATACCAGCCATGTTGCACCATGTAGGCAGTTGCTCGGTAATTGAACCATGGATCGAATTCGTGAATTATTGATTCGAATCGTATGACGGCAAACAGACGAGATGAAAATCCGGCTATCCATGCAATCAGTAAGACGACAAATGTGATAAGACTACTATAGCCAGCAATCTTATTATTTAATATTTTTGAGCTTCGGTTCATTTTAAATGTAGATTTCAATACTACACTTTAAGAACACTATAAAACAACTTAGCCACGTCGCCCAAAATATACCGGCGATTACTTGACCATCACACGACATATTGTTATCGACCACATTTTCAGAACTTTTTTTATCATACAAATTAAACTAGAGGTATTCCCTTTATATATAATGTATAATCTGTTGGCATAATTATATACACTTCATTAGATCTATAAAAATTTTAGTAAGCAATATATAGAACGTCTTTCCCTATTAAATGAAAGTTATCAGACCAATTTTATTTATCACGTTCAAAACATTAAAAAAAGTAAGAGGATCTAGTCAGAAGCTCCCGACTAGGGAATACCCTGAACCCTCTTCTACCAGCACCAAATGCAGCTCGTGCTATGCGCTTATTTGCTTTAGTAGTAAATAAGAAAAATTAATAATAAAAAATAATTGTTCCCTCCGCAGGGTTCGAACTCGCAACTAACCGCACCATTTGCCGCCGCCTCTACTCAAGAGCCACACCAATAATTGAGCTTTAACGAGAAAAAAACCAATTTAAAAAGCAGCACAGAAAACAATACAATCGCAATTGCAATGCTGTTGATAGAATACAAAGCAGACGCGCATGAATGTGGTGTGTACATGTATACAGAAATTCCTGGAATTTGCGCTACTCGATGCTAACACGTGCGCACATAACTTTTGTGTATCTTAACCGATCTAAATGAAATTTTCGACAGTACATCTTGTTGTAGAATAGAATATAGAATATTTGTGTATTCTGAATTGTATTATCAATTGCATTAATTGTGGCTTAAACTAGTGGGCATTACAAGTTGGTTTATTAACTTGATTTATAGCTTTGTTGTGGTTAAGGGGAGGTGGCGATAGCTATAAAATAAAAGATATTTGATATATATATATACCATTCTAGTAGCTTTATTTTAATTTTGGCGTCTCTAGCTCTTATTATTTACCAAAATTGCTCAAAAAACAGGATTTCGATATCGATTACTTGGAAAAGGGGCAAGTTATCGAATATTGGAAACAAAATCGATCTGCGCTAACACTAGGAGGACCTACAGCTAAAATTTCTCTAGCTCTAATAGGTTCTGAGATCCTTGCGTTCATACATACGGACAGACGGAAGTACAGACAGACAGACGGACATGGCTAGATCGACTCGGCTGTTGATGCTGATCAAGAATATATATAATTTATCGAGTCGGAGATGCTTCTTTCTGCCTGTTACATACATTTGCACAAATACGTTATACCCTTTTTACCCATTTTTAATGGGTTCAGGGTATCAAAAGGGTTTGCAATAAATTAATATTCACAACAATTATCGAACATTGTGCTAAGAACCCAACATTTGACTGCATTGTGACAGGTGAAAATTACGCAATGTCTAAAATGCCATATTAACTTTTGACCGCATACAACAATAAATGATTGCACAATTCTAATCAAACCTATATTAAACAGCTTTCATTCGACAGGAAACATACCTATGAAAGGGATCAAATGACTAAAATCTTAAAAATAATGTTATTGAAGAATTAAAGAATATTAATTTGATATTTAAGGAAAATGAATGGAATTACTTAAATCTTCATTTTCGTGAGAGATATTTACATGTGATTTGCTACATACATATGTATGTACATAGTTTACGTGGAACTTAAGACATTGCTTGAATACCCTGCTGGTGTTTTTTGTTATATAATAATATGAATGTTTAATGAGCAATTAATTTTAAAAATTGCAGTTTTCTCGCATCGCATCGTAATGAATACTTAGTATGAGATTTAAGCGATGTAGGTATTTATTATCGGATATTTATTATTATTCGACAGCTAGAAGCACTAACCAAAGGCAATGTAAATACTAAGATGAATAACGCCCTAAAATATTTACAATGTCAATAAATTCATTAAATGATTACTTGAATTTTTCCATATCAAAGTACAAGCGAGTGACAAGTGCGGTTCTTAGACAAGCCGAAATGAATTACCTATGCAGAAAAACGACTTACTTTTTTTTTTATTTTTAAGCAAAATAGGTCCCCACAGTAAACAAACAAAAAAAAAAAAATATTAGAATATAAAATTTAAATATTTCATTTAGGTCATTTAAGTTTTTATTAAATAAAAATAGATCAAATTCTTCTCATTATGCCTGACTGGAAGAAATAAATAATATAGCATTTGAATGTGTGTGCCTTTTGCTTCCATAGACACAAAGGGCACACAAGTGAAGAAAAAATCTCTGGCTTGCGACAAACGCCGTGATCTATAATATGTATGTTTGTAGATCTCGGGGTTTTTTGGGTAGCTATGTAGGGAGAATGAGATGAAAACAAGTGCACAAAGCAATAAGTGAGAGCGAGGCGCACTCTAAACATGCATACACTAATATGTTTTTGGGATGTAAGAAATTAAAAAGTAACATGCATATATTATGAAAAGGCGTCAGCCGCAGCGACGTTGTGCGCCGAGCGCGATGCGGCTTCAACGTGAACGTTCGGCTTTCGAAGCCGGCGTTCGGCTGCCACTCTCAGCAGTCTTACTCTCTCTGGGCATAAGAAAATGGTGGCAGGCACCCTTTGGGTTCCCTCGTTGCCATTTATCGTGTTTCGATTATTCTGCTGTTTGACGTATCTATGCATTGTATTGTTAGTGGTAACGCCCATACATTTGAATGCGACCCAAAATTACTAGCATGGCTTCTCATCTGGCTTTTCCTACTTCACACGACATGCCAGCCGGCTGGCTCTTCGTTCTCCAAATGGCAGACGAATGAATGCCAAAGTCGCGACTTGCTGATGCTGATACGAGCAACAAAGTTAGCCGCCAGCCTGCCTTCAGCAAAGCTGGTCGATGGTGCTTTTCGTCGCTTCGTTTTCGAAGTACATTGAGCGAAAATTTTAAACTTACGATCGACGCAAAGTTCTTCTGCTTTATCCATGAAATGCATGCTTTATTTGAATGATACACTTCCCTAGATACAGAGGTCGCAAATAACAGTCAACACTTATTTTCTATGCGGTCGGCTCTCGAATAAACATAAAAAAACGAAGCAAATTCGGGTTTGCTCTCCATCGAACACGTTATTTCGTAGCAATTGTGTACTCTGTTCGTGCTTTTGCTTGAGCAATGCCGTTGTTATGTCGAACAGTAAGATCTTAACAGGACACATTCGCAAAACGAACAAAGTGGATGCGAAAAGTGTCTTATCTTGTTGTTGTCGTGTGACGATATCAATGAAAGCTAGTGCGAGAGAGAATGAGAGAGTGAAAAAGATGGCATGACATAATACAGTTATGCATGTAGGCAAGCTATTTTGTATAGGATGCCATGGCCTGCTGTCATTCAAATTTTCTACCTACTTGCGCCGAGACTCGGCTCTGCAACAACAATATTAGAAATCAAATCGTGTTGTTGCTGTTTCCACGCGCTGCCTTGTAGGAACGACAGAGAAACACGCAACAACCACAGTGGCATTCTCTGTCCCTTTTCTTTGCACTGAGTTTCCTATGTCCTCAAAATCTAGCGTCAGAATTTCAGCGATCAAAACGGGCGACGATAAAAAATGGGGTTTCATGGGCACTGTTGCTGTTTTGCACCTGATTTGATGTTGCTTCCTATGGTAAATGAGCTTTATTTCTTGAGTTTGATTTTGAGCTTGCGGACCAACCTTATCTACCTTGCTTCAGGTAGTCAGAGCTCGGAGTCAGTTTTCAGCTCTCTATCTGTTTATTACTCTATGAGCTTTTCCCAGCACGTTGAATGGCCACGTGCGGGGACCAAATGTTGGCAAGCTGATTATCCAAAGTTGTTATTTATATAACTTAGGTATTAACTCCTCCCTCTCTGACCTCAAACAACCCGGTCGATTGTTAGAAACCAGGTAGATCGTGGATGCTTCTATGTTTTTTTATGTGGTTTTCCGGGGGAGTTTCTGTTACGTCAACCTTGTCTGGGCGCTGTTCGTTACTATATTGATTTTATTAATATTTTTACATTGATTGTTAATCGCTAAAACTGCATTTTTACATTTTATAACGTTTTCATATCTTATTTTAATTACATTTCCTGTTTTCCTTAAGGGTTTTATAAGTGAATGTTTACAATTTCTTTGTCTGTTTAGGAATATCGATTACATAAATAAGCTTTTCGTCATTAAATGCGATTTTGATATTAGCAAAATTAGCTTCTTCTATATTATTAAATATATTATTCTAGTTTCATCTTCAGAAATTATAAAAGTGTTTACTATATTGGCTTTAGACAAATGTATATCAAGGTTTATGTTACTTAAATCTTCTTTAATTAAATCTATTTAACATTTTAATTGGGTAGCAAGATAATTTTGGAAGTTTTCTGAATTTTTCAAAGCTTTAATTACTACATTATTGTCGTTGATTATCTTATTTATCCTATCTAATATGTCTTTGTTTATTAAAGCTTGTTTATTACTGTTTTTATTATATTGTTTAAATTATTTAATATAATCTCGAAATCTTCATGGTCTGGATTTCCTGCAATCCATTTCCATACAGACCCGATTTCGTTTATGGCCCGTTTTCGTATTACGTGGAAAGTTAGTTTGTTAATTTGAATGTTAATTATATTGATTTCGTTTTTTATGAAAGGAAAGAGAGGATTGGTTTGGGAAATATTAATAAGTTCTTTTTCTGTTTGATCTGTGGTGACCTTATAATCGTTAATGTTAATATGGTGTAGAATTTTAAAATTTCCTGACTGTACTTTACTATTTCCGAGTTCGATGCTGATGGAGTAATACAAAATTTTGTATGTGGCATAGCAAAATGAGATGTACCTGGTGAGCTGGGGAGAATAAAGCAATTTATAATTTCCTTTATGATTTTTGTGGACAATTGTTCCGGATTGAGTAGTGACAGTAGAGTGCTTGTTTTCTTTTACTGTTTCTTCTTTAAAACGTTTAGAAATTTTTGTCCCTACTCTGTTATTTTGTTTAACGAAAATTTGATCGCCAGGTGCATACTGAATAACTTCTTTTTTATTTTTGTTGTGAAAATCTAAATCCT